TAAATACATCCCCCATAAAGTTAAGAACAAGGCCAAGGAAGGCTGCTTTCACTTCTGTTGAGCACTGTACTGAAGATCGTAGCATGGACAGTAAGTCTAGAAAAGAAAGAAGAGGGGTACAGAGAGGGAAGTAAAAAGTGTAATTGGCTTTACTCACAAATGACCTGATTGTATACATATCAAGTCAAATAGAATCTATTTTTTAAATGCTACCAAAAAAAAAGTGACTTTTGGGGAGGTCACCAGAATCAAGTCAGTAAATAAAAATTTAATTTATACAATGTACAAAATACCCCATATGTGGATTTATCCATACAATGAAATACAACTCCGTGTTAAAAAGCATGAACTACTATAGCCCTAACCGGTTTGGCTCAGTGGATAGAGCGTCGGCCTTTGGACTGAAGGGTCCCAGATTCGATTCCGGTCAAGGGCATGTACCTTGGTTGCGGGCACATCCCCAGTAGGGGGTGTGCAAGAGGCAGCTGATTGATGTTTCTCTCTCATCGATGTTTCTAACTCTCTATCCCTCTCCCTTCCTCTCTGTTAAAAAAAAAATCAATAAAACATTAAAAAAAAAAAAAGAATGAACTACTAAAACAACAACATGGCTGGATCTCAAAAACAGTATACTTAAGGAAAGAAGCCAGACACAAAAGATTACATATCATACAATTCTATTTATATGACATTCTAGAACAGGAATAACTAAATCCAAAGAGGCAGAAAACAGATTGGTAGTTTCGTTGGGCTGAGGGTTGGGAGATTGATTGCAAAGAGTAATGAAGGGATTTTCTAGGGCAGTGGTTGGCAAACTCATTAGTCAATAGAGCCAAATATCAACAGTACAACGATTGAAATTTCTTTTGAGAGCCAAATTTTTTTAACTTAAACTATATAGGTAGGTACATTGTTATTAACTTAGAGTACTCCTAAGGCTTAGGAAGAGCCACACTCAAGGGGCCAAAGAGCCGCATGTGGCTCGCAAACCGCAGTTTGCCAACCACGGTTCTAGGGTAATAAAAAATGTTATCTCTCTTTTTAGTGGTGGTGACTTTGGTGTATACATTTGTCAAAACTCATTGACCTGCACACTTAAAATGGTGCCCAACTTAGGATGGATCAACTTACAATTTTTAAACTTTACCATGGTGTGTAAGCAATACGTGGTCAGTAGAAACATCCTGAATTTTGATCCTTTCGGGGCTAGTCAGCCAACGCAATCTTGAGGGTAAATAACTGATAAATTTACAGCGTAATCTTTGTGCCATATGATTTTGCCCAATTGTAGGCTAATGTAAGTATTCTAAGAACCTTTAAGGCAGGCTAGGCTGAGCTATGATGCTCAGTGGTCTAGGTTTATTAAATGCATTTTCAACTTATGGCATTTTCAACTTAAGATGGGTTTTGGGGGCCTAACTCATGGGAAAGTTAGGAGCATCTGTATTTTACTGTTTTTAAATTAAAAAATGGAATGAAGTTTTTTTTAAGTTCATTGAAATGGAGATGTCACTGCTGAACCAAAATAAACATAATGGCTTGAAGTGCTGTTGACTAATTTATTTGAAGCATTTAAGAGAGAGGTATTGATTCACATGCTGCCTTCAGCACCTTTTCACACCAGGCTGGATGGAGTCCCGGAGACAATGGCAAGAGCACCAGGGAGGGGGGGGGGGGGGGGGGGGGATGGAGTGTGAGGGAACAGGACTAAAGGAGAATGGAAAGAGAACCTGAGCGCGTGTTTGCTCCTTCATGGTGAATCCACTGTTGCACACCTGCCAGCAAGTGTGCTCCTGAAAATGCCCCGAGAATGCCAGTCAGTCCTCTGGCTGGCTCCCGGAAGCCCCTCTTTCTGGGAAGGAGGGTCATGCAGCCCAGAACTCCAGGCGAATCTCTCCCTCCCTCCCTCCATAATTTGAATATGACCTGGCTGTGTTACCAGTTGAATAATTTGAATATTACATGAATTTGTGTTCTGATATGTCTGCAGGTTTCTCAGAAACATTATTTGAGAGTCATTCATATGCGTTGGGTACCTACCGGGTGCCAGAAGCGGTGCTTGTGCCTGGGAGTGAAACACATAATGCCTGGCACTCTGCCCCTGCAGGTGGTGGTTGAAAGATCAGTAGGTTGAATTCAGAAGACCTAGTTCTCATCCTGATTCTGCCCTGCAGTCGCCCAAGTGACTCTGAATCAGTAGTTTTACCTCTTAGGGCTTCACTTTGCCATCTTTCAGATTTTAGCTTTAAGAATTTGAAATAGTCTTCCAATAATTTCCAGCTGGATCGCCACTGTTACTATCCACTGCTAACTGGACCGTAACTTCATTGGAGCTTGACTGTGAGGTTTATGCAAGAGGTGCAAAGGACTGCACCACACAGCTCAAGGCGCAGTGGCATCCTCTATCCATTCAGGGGTCCTCTTAGACCACGATGCACAGCCTTGGTGGCACACCAGAATCACCTGAGGAGTTTTAAAAATTCTTGTTGCTGAGGCTGTACCTCTCTTGGAGGGTGGACCCAGGCATCAGTCACTTTTAGACACAATCATCTACTTATTGGCCCTTTGCATACTATTGCCATTTGACACATAGCACTGAATGTGAGTATACCATTTTGATAGTAGGTAGTGTTGCTGTGTATGTTTAACAACTGCAGACAGAGCAAGGCCAGGCATTAGAGCTGAACGCAAACCATCTCTGAGCCCATTGGCCATCCTATATTTCTTTCATCCAGGAAAGAGATTTTAGATCTCCATTGTCTGTTATTACCAACACTAGAGGCCCAATGCACAAAGATTCGTACAAAAATAGGCCTTCCTTCCCCTGGCTGCCGGTACCACCTTCACTCTGGCCAGAGCCACCTTTCCACCTTCACTCCGGCCCAGAGCTGCCTTCCACCTTCATGCACTGTGGAGGCCCGGAGCAGCCGGGGCGGGGCTGAACGCCTGCATTGTCGCCATGGCAACAACGCAAGCGTCCCAGCCCAGCCGCCTCCATCTTTGTCACATCAATTTGCATATTCCCTCCTTATTGGCTGTGGGCGCCGCCATGTTTGTCATGAAGTGATGGTCAATTTGCATAGTCTGTCTTTATTAGATAGGATTGCTGCTTAATTCAATTCATGCACTCAACCACTATTTATTAAATGCCTGCTATGTGCCATGCACTATGTCCTGGAGACTCTATGGAGAACAGAAATTAACCAGGTGATAGCACTAGCATGTGCAAAGTCCCTGTGGCAGAAAGGATCTTGGCCAATCAGAAGAGCTGAGAGAATGTTTATGTGGCTGAAGCAGAGAGCCTGCCAGCTGCATGCAGTGTGCGGAGAAGGAGCTGTGGCTGCAGAGAGCATGGAGGAAGTCACCCTCTGTGCATTGTCTCCAAATGTGGTGACTTTCAGCAATATACTGACTGACTGTTTTTAAGATGACATTACTAGCCAAAGCAGTCTGAGAGCATGGTCGTGAGTCATATGGAGGAGGTGACCCAAGAATGGCACAGTTTTATCTGGTTACCTCCCAGACAAAACCACAGGCCCTGCCCAGGGTTATGCTCCCGATAGCCGGAGCTGGTATGTACTGAGAGCCAGGGTTGTGCCAGGCACTGCTGTCAGCACTGGATTGCCTCTTTGAGTCTACATTACCAGCCTATGAGATATAAACTATTACTACTCCTTTTTATGGAGGGACACAGACATGAATAACTTGGCCTCAGTTACACAGCTACTAAGCGATAAAACTAGACATTGAACCCTAGCAGTCTCTCTCTCTCTGGACGGCCAGTCGGTCACGGTGCTGTACTGATGCTGGAACGTGGTGGGGGCTCTGCTTATGGCTCGTGTTGAGATGTTTTCTCTTTATTCAGAGAAAATGGAAGCCAGGATGAGGGTTCAAGCAGGTGTAACATGGCCAGATGGCATTTCCCTCAATTTGCAGATAATGGACAGTTGACAAAGACACCTTCGCTCCTATACAGCAGTCATAGGAGAGTCCACACAAGCAGAAAACAGAGGAAACGACATTGACATTTCAGGGGAACTTCAGGTATAATATAATTACTGCTTTTGAGGCTGGTTGAATGAATTCACTTGCCTATGAGCTGTCAGAAAATTGTCCTGCCTGGGGGAGCACTTAGAACCTTCTTGAAAATAGGACTCAAGAGTTTAACTAGATTCTTGTGAAGCCTGGGTGCAAACTCACACGTCCTATACTCTGTGGTGAGAAACGAGTGCTCTAGAAAGTACGTGGAAAATTACATGGAAATTGTGGTCTGATGCACACAGCAGCCTGTGTATAACCCAGGGAAGCAACTCAATTGCCAAGAGCCTTAGGTTGATCTGGAATCATTGTCGTTGCCACCATCGCTATCAACCCCATGTTGTAATGGTCTGTGATTACCTGGTATTTGGTACATGAACCCATATAAAAAAGAGGCACACGATCCTCTTTTAATAGATATCCTGAAAGAGTCCATAGCCACATCAATATTCGTTGAGTACCTGTTCTAATACTAAGCAGTATCTCATTTAATGCTCAGAATAGCCCTGCCACGGGAAGTGAATCCCCGTCCTTAGAGATAAGGAAACGGAGACCAAGACAGGCCAAGCAACATGCCCAGAATCTCACAGTAGCCTGGGAGAAAGGCTTAGGGGTTTGATCCAAAATCTGCTTGGCTTCAAACCTAGTGTTCTTGGCTGCTCCCTATAAAAACGTGTCGATGAGAGTTCATGTCCATTGTCCATGATGCATTGACCAGAGTAAAGAGAGGATCCTATTTTCTGCACAGACTCAGGCATGGGAGTCTGATTGTCAGTTGGCGGCTAAAATTCAGATGTTGGCTGAAGAAGCAACATTATGTACAGTCTTTGGTCCTTCCCTTTTCATTGAAATGAAGATTCAGCTGCGGCTGTTTGTCCTGACCCGCCTCTGAAGCTGGCCAGGCACTCACCGCGCGTCAGGCCGGCAGAGCCAACCGAGGTTGATTTCTTTTTGTTCCGCAGCTGCAGAACCAGGAGCTGCTGAGGGCGATGATGAAGAAGGCTGAGCTGGAAATCAGCGGCAGAGTGATTGAAATGATGAAGAGGCTGGAGGACCCTGTGCAGCGCCAGCGCGTCCTGGTGGAGCAAGAGAGACAGAAGTACCTGCAGGAAGAGGAGAAGATCGTCAAGAAGTTATGGTGAGTGCCCGTCGCTTGCTGCGTGTTTAGCTGTTTAACCGGAGAAGGAAACCTGACTTTGCCAAGGAGGAGGCCCTTCCTAGATGGCGTTCTCCCCCTCTCCCTTTATTGAGCACCTACTATGTACAAGCTAGAGTTCTGTGGTTCTGGGCTGTCCATGGACTCTTGGTGCCCCCCACCCCCACCACCACCACCACCACCCGTCCAGGCCCAAGGAATTCAGCAATCCTCAGGGACCTGAGCTGGTCTCTTTAAGGGCGGGAACATCACACTCTTCTGTAGGGCTCAGCCACACAGAATTAAAAGGAGCAAATGGCAAAACCCAATGATGAATGGGAAGTCTGCATTTAATCTCAATAAATCAAAACTAATTGTCAAAATAACAGCGCACTAAAATTGTCTCCCTATTATTCAACTGTAGTTAAAGTCACAAAAGAAGAATTTAAATGTAAAGTATGTCTGATGCAGAGGAGAGATGCTTCCTTGAAAGCTCCCAGTCTTCTGTGAGGTTCTGATTGAAAGCATCTATCAAGCCCCCCCATTGAAGTGAGCAGTTTTATTACTCCCTGGTCACCAGGGCAGGCACATCTTTTATATTAATGCATGTCTTGTTATGCAATGGAGATTTATCACAGAAATATTTCACCTTTTAATATAATGAATAGTAATTTCTGTGGTTCTTCTAGTGTTGGCCGTTCTCTTGCTTTTTGGAAAGCTTTAACCTTCCAAATTGGAATTGTAAGGGAGCAACCTCCAAATTCTTTGTATGACCAGAACCCCCAGAAGTCTCCGTGATGGAAAGCACTGTGGTTGGTCTCCTATTGGATATTTGGGCTGCAGCTTACCTCACCTCAAATGCCAACCCAATGGGTCTGATTGAAATTAGAATGTCACTCTCTGAGAAAAAAACTGTTTCCGTTATTATTTTTCATAAGAAATCAAATTTGACCACTGTTCATTGCCATCTCAAAATGTTTTATTTAGTTCAAACATTTATAACTAATTAATCTCTCACCATGAAGCAGTGAGGCTGTTATTCGTCTAAAATGATTTTGTGACAGCCCAGCTGCTTAAAACTAGGTCTCAGGATTTTTCTTGAAAACTTCTTTTAAGATATATAGCCTTTTAGTATTTTATACATTTTCCAAATAAATTGTGAAAAGTAAATTTCCTCCTTTCAAATTTTGTATTTATTGGTTAGCTGAGATAATTCTTGCTTCTTGACTAAAATAAGGCATCTTTAATCTCAATATTATCCTGAGACTAGTAGGCCAGCATAGGAATGATATGCAGGGGAGTGGAACCAACATATCATGAGAGGACTTCACCTGTGGCTTTGTGGGACGGCCATACATGAATAGGTTGTGCACAGCCACTAGAGGAAATTCAGTCTGGCAAAACAGGACATAGCAGTACGTGTATAGCACAAAACAGGTGGTTTACCGGTGCCAGGTTTACCTATACAAAGGCTTTAAGCCCCAGGAACCAGGGACACTAAACCTGAAATTATTCTTCATGTGACTCCAGGCCAAGCACAGTACCATGTGCATAGTAGGGCTTCACAAAGGTGTGTTAAACTGAACTGAAATGGTCTTGAGGACTGGTGAGATTTCATCAGTGGAGGGAGGACCCCCCAAGTAGAGGAACCCTACAAACCAGTAAGTCTTAGGACCAGGAAGGCACAAGACATCCTTGGAAAATGAGAGTAGTCCAGTTGGGTGGAGCGTGGATACAAGATACTAATCATGTCTCGTGTTTGGGTCGTGCTATTTCTGTTTGCGTGGTACCTCCCCATATCTAGACCATGCTCACGCCCAGCATGCCTGCTGGACGTCTGTTTGTTCTGTGTTTACCGAGATTGGAAGATCACGTAACTGGATTTCTGGCTTTTCATGAAAGTTCCTGGGTCCAGCCCCTGGTTCAGGATTTCTCGGGATGGAGCTTAGGACTGTGCATTTTACAAAGATACAGGGGAGATTTTGAATCACCTTCCCATTTGGGAGTTTCTGCCTGGCCTGATGAGGTCACCGAAGCTTTTTTGATCAAGAAAGTAACAGATTCCAAACTGTATTTCAGGTGGATCTCTCTGGCCATCGCTTGCAGGGCTGATTGAGGGAGACAGAAATTGTCTAAGACTGCGGTCACAAACTGGTAGTCTGAGGACCCCTGGTGGTCCATGAGTTCCAAAAGGTTGGCGACCACTGGTCTAAGAAATCATATTGGAACTGACTTTAACAGTCCAGACAAAAGTCAGTAAGAGCTGAATCAAGCAGTAGAAATAGGAATGAGAAAACAAATCAAATGCAAAAGGGACTGATTGGATGGATCAGAGTGGTTACAATAGACAGCTGGAAATTTCAACTCCGGAACCTAAGGAAAACAGTTATACCTGCCTCTCCCTCTTTCCTGCCCTCCCCAACTCTCCTCCTCTCCCTGACCCTCCTCCTCCCAACCTTTGTCCTTACACGTGTGCATGTGCACGCACACACACATGCACACACACACACACACACACACACACACACATGAAAATAAGTTCCCTTGGGGATCATGTTAAGGCAAGTTGTTGGTGAGCCATTCAAATGGCGGAAAAATAAAATTTGGGCCTGGCAACTATGGAGAGAAATTGGATCAAGAGAATTTCTCTTTGGTGGGTTTCTATGTGGAAATAATAATTGGGCTTCTGATAACAGTCAAATGAAATATATTTCAACAAATTAATACTTCTTTTTAACCAAGGCAGAATGAAAAGCACCATCAACAAATAGAATGGATTTACCTATAAACCACAGCATCTGTGAACACCTGGCATTCTTTTGAGCAGAGTTTCCATCCCAAAAGTCATATTAATTACTATAATATTAAAAAATTATTTTCAGCATTCATTTTAGCTCCATGGTCTCCTTTTACATTTTGGGTGAACCAATTTTATCTGCATGCTTTATCTATGATAGAAGTATATGAATAGAAGTGATATTGTTGTGTACAACAATTTCAGTACACATTTCTCTATGTTCCATGATCAACACAGGAAAAACTGACATGTAAGGCTCCACTGTGTTGGACCCTTACAAGTGTTTATAAGCAGCTGATGCAAGGTTATAAAATCCAAGAGTCACATTGTATGGAAGAGATTCAAATAGAATTTTAGGCTGACTGCTCAGATGACAGCTCCTGAGAGTATTAATTGCAACCTGGCCAGCTGCAGGATTGTTAATGGAACCATGATAACATTTGGGTCTTAGCTCTTCCATCAAAGCTTAAGAGGACTGGACAGCGTGTCCAATCTACACATTCAGATAATTCTGTTTGGTTATGAAGTGAAAAAGGACTTTTCCTCACATATTTAGAACTCTTATGAGAGATGGCACACATTCTCTCCACCTCGGGGTGCAGGAGCTGTGGGAACATCCCAGTGGGTTCACATGAACGGGTATCTGTCCATCGTTTGTGAATGTGGACAGTGAGAAGATGGCTTTGCATTTTGGTCCTGAAGTTGCATCATCTTATCTGAAGGGATCATAGGCACTTTTGGTCCATTTTCCATAACAGAATGAAAGACATCAGCAAAATCTTCACCCCACTTCTTGGAGGTGGATGAATTTGCTGCTTGCCCCATGGTCCTTATTGAACATATGCGCCGTCCTGCCTGAATCGCTCTCACAACTGTCGTGCCATCCATAACTTCATCCTCTCGTCCACCTGGTGCGAGGGTCTTAGCGGGCCATCTTTCTGAAAATACTGCCTTTTCCCCTCCTGCTGCTGCCTGCTCCACAGGCTCAGGACTCCGCCAAGTAACAGCTGTTCACTTACTGCCACCCAGTGGCTCTTCATCTCAAAGTTCTTTCCCCTTTTCTTTACGAGGGCTGGTGGTTAGATTTACAGGCAAACTGAAATGATACAAACGTGGCTTAGGAGGGGGTTATTAATGTTCCCAGGTGACAGGATGTTTGTTTTTGTTTGTTTGTTTTGGAAGTGAAAGGCCTTAACTTAATTCTTTTGGAGCAGGCAGTACCCTAAGGTGTGTGTGTGCGTATGAGGGTGCGTGAGTGTGTGTGTGTGTGTGTGTGTGTGTGTGTGAGTGTGTGTGTGTGTGTGTGTGTGTGTGTGTGTGTGAATCAGGTCTGGATCATTTTTTCTCTGTAGCTTGGAAAGGAAAGTCAATCCTTATTGATGGGACAATCAGTATAAACCGGAGGTTGGATCAGGGCAAGTTTGCTCCCCTCCCCCAAGGACATTTAATGCCTGGAGACATTCTTGTTTGTCACAAAGTGGGGGAAGTGCTACTGGCACCAAGTACACAGAGCCAGGAGGGCTGCCAAACACCCTCAAACGCCCAGGACAGGCCCCACTACAGAGCATTATCTGGTCCAAAAGGTCAAGTGCCAAGGTTGAGAAGCCTGATCTGGGCTCCTCATTTTACTCCACTACAGCATTCTCTCTCTCTCTCTCTCTCTCTCTCTCTCTCTCTCTCTCTCTCTCTCTCTCTCTCCTCTCTCTCTCTCTCTCTACCCCCCTTCTCTCTCTCCCTCTCTCTCTTTCTCTCTCTATTGTCACAAAGTGCACACAACCCCCCTTAATTGGCATCAGCGCCGCTGAAGATGAAGAACCAGCTGCCATCTTCCCTGCGGCCGCCTGGGCCACTCCACAAACAGGCCCTGGGCAAACTTGCCTGCACCTGCGCTAACATGTGCTCCACCATCTGGGTGGAAGGCGAGGTGGGCGGGGACACGGTGCACAGTGGGAGCCCAGGTGAGCCCCGTGCCCCTGCGCCGGTGCTTTGTCGACCCTCGGTGTTCACGCTCTGTGGTCTGCTCGCCCCCCAGTGAGCTGGAGGACCTGGTTGAAGACCTGAAGAAGGACTCTGCATCGGCCAGCCGAGTGGTCACCTTAAAAGACGTGGAAGATGGGGCGTTCCTCCTGCGGCAAGTGGGAGAAGCGGTAGCTTCCCTGAAAGGTGAGCTTCCTCGGGGTTATGTCCCACAGGGAGGGCTTCGTTCACTCACTCACTCACTCATGCCTGGCAGGGTCCGCCAGACACCTCCAGGTGTCAGGCACGTGGGACCCAGCCCTGAACAAGAGCCAGGCCTTCCTGTCTTCTTGAAGCTTATACGGTAGCGGGTGCTGACAGATTTAGGACTAAATGATAATACAGTTTCTCACTGGACTCTTACAACACACCAGCACCTGTGCCAAATTCAGTAAACACAACCCCAAGGGACAGCTGACCTTATCCCAAGTTCACAGCCAGGAAAGGAGGCCCAGGGGAGCTCTGCCCCTGGCCGTGGCCACCTGTCCGCCACTTCTTCTCCCTGAAGATGTGTGAACGGCACTGTGGCTGGTGAACCCCACGCGCTGCCCCCTATCCAGGGTCGGGTGCAGGGTGGGGGGTTGCTGTTCTGACTTTTTCTCCCACAACTCACGCATTGCTCTTGGCCACAGGAGAATTCCCGACCTTACAAAACAAGATGCGAGCCATCCTGCGCATAGAGGTGGAGGCCGTGCGGTTCCTGAAGGAGGAGCCGCACCGGCTGGACAGTCTCCTGCAGAGAGTGCGGAGCATGACCGACACCCTGACCCTGCTGCGGAGGTGACCGCACTGGGCGTGCAGAGGGCGGGGCGGGGTGGGGTGCTGGGAGGGTTGGGGGTCTATGGTTTGGACTCCCAGGCTTCCTCTGTGCTCCTGGGACCTGGGACGTGGCAAGTCTTATTTCTCATGCCCTGAGGAGAAGCCGCGGTCCCTTCCCACCTGGAACTTCCATTGTGCGCACGGCTGAGGTCCTGATCCTTCCGCAGGGGCCTCAAGCAGGTCCTGATCCTGCTGCATCTGGCACGAGCTCGGGCTTGCAATTCACTAGTCAACAGTTTAAGAAAATCATTTGAAGGTGGTTCCTTCCAATAACATTTTGAAGTTGAAGAATGGATCAAAATGTAATATTAGCCTCCTTCACTTCAGGGGCATAGATGACTTCAGTTCAAAGAACATGAGTAGAAATAAAGCCTTTTTTGAGTTTCCTGCTGAAAGGGTATCTGAGAGGTGTTGATCCCATCAGAAAAGAGAAACAAACCCCCTTTCGTGGCACAGCCAGTCACCTTTGCCTGCCCATAAAAGAGGGTCCCAGAAGAAGAAAAACTAAATCACTGAATCACCCAGGACTTTCATTGAGAAGAAAATTCCTGAACTCTATACTCACATAGAAAGTGCTGACATATATGCAGGATTGTGTTGCCAGAAGCACCTTTATAAATGCCGTCTCATGTACTCTGTCTTGGGTGACAGTTAGATCTCTTTCTTCTCAGCACACTCATAACAATAGCTCATGTCAGTGAGCACTTCCTATGTTCCAGGCACTGAACTAAGCCTTTGTAAATATTAGCTCACTCTGTCCTAACTTGCAACCCTATGTGGCAGGCATTCTCATTCCCATTGTCTAGAGAGAATCTGAGCTTCGAGGAAGTTCACTAGAAGTGAGAGGTGGGGCCAGGATAGGAACTGATAGGTTGACTCCAGCGAGCAGAGTTGGTTCTGATCTCACACCCAGGCAGTCAGCAATGTTTGGACAGTCTGTCCAGCCTGGTATTGGATGTCAAGAACCCTATATAATAAAAGGCTAATATGCAAATCAACCGAACAGCGGAATGACTGGTCGCTATGATATGCACTGACTACCAGGGGGCAGGCGCTCAATGCAGGAGCTGCCCCCTGGTGGTCAGTGCACTCCCACAGGGGGAGCACCACTCAGCCAGAAGCCCAGAAGCTGGGATCAAATGCCTAAGCCATCAGTCGGATATCCCCTGAGGGCTCCCATACTGTGAGGGCGTGCAGGCTGGGCTGAGAGACCCTCTCCCCCCTTCCCACCCCCCTGCACGAATTTTGTGCACCGGGCCTCTAGTATAATAATAAAGACAAACAGGAACCCTACCCTTATATAACTTTCTCTCTCACATGGGAAGTAGACACAACTACTAAAACTAAACCAGTTTCCAACAGTGGCTGTCCCTGAGTTTTGTTTTTAACACATTGTATGCGGGATACGTATTAATACGTTTTACGTTGACTGGTAGTAGAGCGCGGGACACGTATTAATATGTTTTTTATAGACTAGCGGTAGAATGCGGGTAACCTATAAATACGTTTATTTTTATACTTTTTTATTGCTCTAAAGGGATGCTAACATGCAGATATACGAATTCCAAAGGACAAAATTTGGGTCTCTAACACATAGAATGGTGAATTATGTATGTACTTCCAGGTATAATGGTAATCAATCTATTCAACTGCAAAAATGGCCCGCGCCACCTGTTAGCGCGCGATAAAAACTACCCGCAAACAATGTGTTAATAGAACTAGGAAATTGCAGAGACATTACCCTTCAACTCTTAGACCAGATTTGAGAGCAGGTAACAGACAGAAGGAACAAATAAGACAGCTTCTTGGGAGAATTTTAGTCATTAACTGTAAACATGTGATCAGATTTATAAGATAAATAAATGTACAGTTGACTTTCAGATGAATTATTATTAACCAGAGGAACAAGTGAGATTTTTCTAGTAACAATGACCTCAAGAAAAGGCCTCCTTTGAGATGCAAACATGATAAGCATCACCTGCATAAGTTCCCGAAGGAATTCTGAAATCCAGCAGTGGCCCCCTGCAGAGACCACATCTGACTGAGTGCAGGAACAAATTGTACCTGAGACACATCTTCTCATAGGTCCACTCATTTTAAGTTGCTGGAGTGAACTTTTTCTTCCAGCAGGATAAAAATCTGGTAAAAGAATTCTTCATTAAGCTCTTTCCTAAATGTGGTAACCCATCCGCAAAGCCCAGAACAAGCCACCCTTGTTAAGTGGAAACAGATAACGGGCTGGCAGACAGCATTGCCCCTTCTCCCTTCTCTCCCCTGAAAAACAATTAAAACAATGTGTTAGAGCCAGCACAGAGGGATGGAGCTCCGTGCTTGCCTCATCTCCAGGGAATCAAGTTCTAAAAAAGATGTGATGTGTGTTTTGAATGTTACAGGACTTTTTGTCCCATGAATGCTCAGTGGTCAGAATGACAAACCCAGGTAACTAACTTTTAAAATAAAAGAAATCTTAGCTGCCATCCGGCTGCCCATCACAAGCCTTTGCACTATTAATTGGTATTGGTAGCTCGTGTATGTAAAGTGCTGTATCCGGCACTGGGGAGACACAATGAGGAAGACAGGACGTGCCTGTGTCCTGATGCCATGGCAGGGAGATAACGCAGGTGACAGTCACAGAGCAACTCAGCAGCTGGGAAGAGGCTGACATGTTTTGATATGTATTGAATTTGAAGTGCTGGAAGGATAACCAAATACAACTGCCCACTAGGCGCTTAGGAATGTGGACTGAGGTTCAATAGAGAGACAGAGCGGTGTCCCTGCCTAATGGGGAGGGGAGGTGGGAGGAGGAAGGGGAGAGAGATTTAGAATCAGAAGTTGCCTTTGTGAAGATGATGATTTGAAGTAGAAGAGGTGGCTACGGTAGAGTGAGAGAAGGGAAAGGAGGGAAGAGGTCCTCGGGCATCCTCGGGGCTGAAGGGCCAGGGTAGGGAAACTAAGCAGCAAAAGTAACAGAGACGTGAGTAGCAGGAGAGACTCATAGAATATAGTGTCTTTTTTTCAAATCAAAAAGAGCATTTTAGTAAGAAGGAAAAGAGACTAATTAAAAATTACAGGTCAAGGTACAAGTCTCACATTGTCTCACATATATAACTTTACACTGAGCTGAACAACCACCCTAGGGAAGACATCAGCTGTCAGCATCATCGTCACGATCACATTCTATGGAAAAGTATCTGAGACTCAAAAAGGTGACGTCCCTGGCATTATAGCAGTAGAACGTGGCAGAACTGATGTTCAGACCCAAATCTGTCTGACCCCAATGCCATGTCTTTCTCACTGCACCCATGGGTGCTGGTGGACAAAGAGCATCACATGGCCCCGAAAGCAGAAGAGTATGAGAACTAACCCAGCTGCTCAATTTGGTGTCATGGTGACCTTGCAGAAAGCTTGGTCAAGTCCCAGTGGGGAAGCCAGCTCGCACCAGGAGGAGTGAGCATTAGAACACAGACTGCCCTCCCGAGCCATTTGAAGTGCAAGGAGCAGATTCTGGGGTGTCAGGAAGGTTTGGGGATTAGAGCCCTGCATCTGTGAGGGCTCTCCAGGCCGGGATCAGCTGGAGGAGACATTGTTAGAATCATTTGACCACTTCATGCTGCCACCTCCCCCCAAAGCAGTGATGGAATTGTGTGTCAGGGCACAACAGTGCTAGTGGACAGAGCAAAGCAAGCCACCTCCTGAGGACATAATGAGAAAGCAGCTGCCAGAGGTAAGTAGAAGGAAATTCACTGCTGGGAAGTAGCTATGGAAACCCTCAACCCTGAGCTGCTACTCTGAGTTTTAGAATGTTTTAATTTTGCAAGAAAAGCTTGCCTGGCTTTGGGATGGCACTGTATTCACATGCACCGTAATATTAAAATAAAAGTCACCTATTTCATAGCTAACGCTGCTGTGCATGCTTCCTCCTAGACATGTCACTGATGGGCTCTTAAAAGGGACAGATGCAGCCGAGGCCGCGCAGTATGTGGCCATGGAGAAGGCCACCGCCGCAGAAGTCCTGGCGTCCCAGCCCCTCCACGGCGCAGCAGTCCCTCGAGACGTGAAGTCGGAAGTGGTGCCCTTGATGGTTCACCATGCACAGAGCTCTCCTGTGGTCACTCAGCCGTCCCAGCTCTCCTCCGCCCCACCCAACCCTGCCCAGCACCCGACCAGCCCTCCGGCAGTCACACAGGAAGTGACCTCAGCTCCCCAGTCATCACAGGCAACTCAGTCTCCACAGGCACCCATGAATGGCTCCTCCATGCAGAGTTTGTTCATTGAGGAAATCCACAGTGTGAGTGCCAGGAACAGGGCGGTGTCTATTGAGGTAGAGTCCTACTTCCATTTTTTGTAGCCCCATAGAGGAGTGTAACTCATGGTCCTTTCCCTGGAAGAATTTACAGCCTGGCTGTAGAGATAGTACATATATGTATCCGAGTCGTATTTTTTTTTTTTAATAATATATTTTTATTGATTTTTTTACAGAGAGGAAGGGAGAGAGATAGAGAGCCAGAAACATCGATGAGAGAGAAACATCGATCAGCTGCCTCCTGCACATAACTGGGGATGTGCCCGCAACCCAAGCACATGCCCTAGACCGGAATCAAACCCGGGACCTTTCAGTCCGCAGGCTGACGCTCTATCCACTGAGCCAAACCGGTTTCGGCCCGAGTCATATTTTTTATGAAAATGTGTTTATATATACTAGAGGCCTGGTGCACAAAATTCATGCGGGGGGGTGCCCTCAGCCCAGCCTGCACCCTTTCCAATCTGGGACCCCTCGGAGGATGTCCAACTGCCAGTTTAGGCCCAATCCTGGGTCACTCGGACATCCCTCTCACAATCCTGGACCGCTAGCTCCTAATCTCTCACCTGCCTGCCTGCCTGGTTGCCCCCAACTGCCCCCTCTGCTGACCTGATCGCCCCTAACTGCCCCCCTGCCATCCTGGTTGCCCCCAACTGCCCCCCCGCCCACTGCTGGCCTGGTCACCCCTCACAGTTCCCCCAACGGCCTGGCTGCCCCACACAGCCTGCTGTTAAGTCATTTGGTCGTTCCTCACTAACCCCCCTGCCAGCCTGTTCTCCCCATGCAGCCTGCTTGTTCAGTCGTTTGGTCATCCTTCACTAACCTCCTTGCCAGCCTGGTTGTAGGCAGCCATGTTTGTGAGGGCATGATGGTCAATTTGCATATTACCTCTTTATTACATAGGATATGATGTCCTAAGAAATGTGTGCACAATTTGAATGATTATAAAGTCAGTGTTTATTAACATACAGTTCATTTTCAATTTTTAAAAGAATCCACAGAAATGAGTAATTTTTTTGTCAATGCCTGTTTTCAATCTGATGATCACTCTTGCCCAAGCACTGCTGATAACACAAAGCAATAGAACTGCAAACATCAAGAATCATTTCATGTGGTAGTTGTGTGCCCTCAAGTCATCAACTGTTGCTGACTTTGTACCATAAACAGGTCATCTAAGTAATCTCACCCCCGCCCCCTTTTTCAAAGTAAGAAAATGTGGTCCAGTAGCCATATAGCAAGTCTTTGACAGAAGTGGAACCAAGACATGGGATTCTTAGCTCCTAGTGAGTGTTTTGGTGTTTATTTCTGTTTGTTTGAACCTCTCTACAATGAAAGCTCAATTTAGAAAACAAAAACTTGGTTATGGATACTTACCCAGGGTAAGTGTCTGTGTCCCATTTTATGTACTGTTGGTGGAAGTATTCGGTAAGTGCTCAGCCATCATTTAGTGAGTGAATTTGATTTCTGAGCTTGCTGCAATATGAATGAGTGTCACGCGCGTAAATGCAGCCCATTTCGCTATAGGAGAGGCAGCAGAGAGCAGGTGTGTCTGATTTGCCAGGTGTCTCTCAGCACATAACCCGGAGCGTTATTTTGCCAGCACTTTAACTGTGTTACACCTCCTCCCACCCAACAGGAAATCTCTAAACAATTAATGAGCTTTTCCCTCTGTTTTTACCAACTTTCTTCACCTGCTCTTTTCCTTCAGAAAGCAGAAAGGAAATGGGAAGAGAAAAGACAAAATCTGGACCACTATAATGGGAAAGAGTTCGAGAAGCTCCTGGAAGAAGCTCAGGCCAATATCATGAAGTCAATTCCAAACCTAGAGATGCCCCCAGCCTCTGGCCCAAAGCCCAAGGGCGATGCTCCGGGGGACAGGCTGGAACGCTCAGGTAAGGGGCTGGCAGCTGCCACTGGCTGCCCTCGGGTCAGGGTGCGGCCAAGCTCTCACTTCTTAGGAATTTTATGAAATTGAAAAATTGGGAGAACCAATCTCTCAGGTGTCCCTAGAGCTTCACTACTACTTTGAAACCATAACTATAGCCATAGTGGGAAGAAGCTGTTCTATGTTAAGATGCTAGAACAATGCCCAATAAGGGAACGTTTAGATTTCCCAGCTTCTGCATTTCCTGTGAATTCATGACACTTCCAGCACCAGCTGGGTGAGTATGAGGCCTGCATCCAAAGCAGGAGTTTTTCATATGCTGCGGAAAGAAAAGGCCAGCTTTTATGAGCTCCCAGGGGGATAATTGCTTGTAAGATGAAATTGTATTTTTTAAATCGAAATTATTAAATTGTAAATTTAACCAACTGAACTATGGAAGTTAAGCCTCAATATGTCAGTAATAATATAAAATAACTTTTAAAAAACTCAGCCTACTAAGTCTCTAAGCTATTACAAGCCTTGTGCTTTATTCTGATATTAAAATTATATGACATTTACCCTGGCCAGGTGGCTCAGTTGGTTGGAAGGCCATCCCATACACCAAAAGACTGAGGGTTTGATTCCCTGGTTAGGACACTTACAGAAGGCAACCAATTGATACTTTTCTCTCACATCAATGTTTCTCTCTCCCTTCTCTCTCTAAAAAAAATCAATAAAAATCCTTGAGTTAGGATGAGGATTAAAAAAAAAAAATTATGTGACATCATTGTTTACTTGTGGCCCAATGTGTCACACTAAATGAATGAGACCTTGTCCAGCAACTAAAATTAATTTGAAATGGAATCTCCATCTTGACTTGTCAAGGAAATTTATAACCACAGTTTAACCACTGTAACACTCCAGGTTTTCATTCCTCAAAGCTGCTCTAAAACTCCACTCACTGAAAGTCTCCCCCTCAGTCTGTACTAAGAGGTGTTTTTTCATCTCTTTCCCTACCTGCCAGTTGTGAGAGGCCTGGCTAGGCCCCTGGAGGGTCAGGCACGCAGACCAGAGAGGAAAGGGCCCTGGGAGGGGCAGGTCTGCTCTCACCACCACGGCGTTTCTCCCAAAGTTCCCATGGAGAATATCTAATGGATAACATGATCTTCCTCATTGCATCTCTCTCTTTCCTAATTCAGCTCTCCCTATTATTAATTTTTGTCATAGAGTCTCCTTTGATGTTTTAGAATTACAAATAAATTATAAATTTCGAATGAGATGGTAGAGAGGAGTGTGGAGTAGGAATTGGATGACAGAAGGTGAAGAAATTAGCCGGAGAACATGTATGCATAACCCATAGACACAGACAACAGTGTGGTGATGGCCAGAGGAAAGAGGGACGGGTTGGTTGGAGGTGGGCAAAGGGGGGGGGAATATTGGGGACATCCGTAATAGTGCCAACAATAAAAATAAAGTGAAAAAAAGAAAAATGTTATATATTTAGAATGATAAATAAATTATAATTGTTCCTTCTCCTGCTTGTACAATAAAAATAGTAACAATACATTTTGTTAACCTCATTTGGGAATTTTATTCTTTCAGATTTAAAAAAAGTTTGCATAAATTATATTTTTAATTACTCTCCAAAGTATCTTCACTCAGTTAAAGTGTTCTTACTGTTGTTGTTTTCTTTTTTAACACATGGCCTGGTTTCTTGTCAAAAAGAGTCTACTAATGTCCAGGCCACCAGAAGTGGGTGAGGGTATCACCCATTCTCTGTAGACTTTGATTTCTATTATTCTTTTTTTATTTGTCATGGATGTTATTGCTTTTATTTTTGTCTACTAATGGGGTAAAATTCTAAGCTAAGGGTTTTAAAAAATCATTTGTATTTCCTTTTGGGTGCATTGTCTGCCTACATATATAATGGGGCAGGATGGATAGCTCCCAAAAATATTAATGGAAAATTTGGGGAATGGTGGCCTCAGTCAGTGGTAAAGCAAAAGTATTCACAAAGGCAGATGTTAAAAAGCATCAAGGAAGACTTTATTCAAGACTATTGCTAAGAGGAGAGAGACTGACTCAGCTCTGAGTGCAGCAGGCGGGATTCCTGCGAAAGGCAGGCCAAGGACCTAAATATCAGGGTGGGGAGCGAAAAACTTGTCAGATATCAAGAATGGGGGATTCTTGCTAACTGGATTCTTTGCTAAAGCTCGGCTCAGCAGATCAAGGTTAGGGCTAGTGAGAAGAGGGCCGAGAGGAGCTTGAATAAGTTGCTCAAAGAGGGAGTCTGTCATCACACCTGAGAGGAGAGAGCTGGGTCGGCCAGCCTATGCTGAGGCATGTGGCCCGGTGGCTGTGAGTTTGACATGCTTGCGAGAGGAACCCAACCTGGAGGTGACCATCCCAAGGCCAGGCTGCTGGCATAGGAACCAGCACAGCCCCGATGCTGCGGGGCCCTATAACCCAGCACCCTCGTGCATGAGACAGGAACTGTCCACCATGAATAATCACTGGGATGTCACCCTCATGATTTCCCGAGTCTGTCACAACTTTATTTTTTTAAATATATTTTTATTGATTTCAGAGAGGAAGGGAGAGGGAGAGAGAGAGAAACATCAATGGTGAGAGAGAATCATTGATTGTCTGCCTCCTGCCCACCCCACAGTGGCGATTGAGCCCACAACCTGGGCATCTGCCCTGCCGAGGAATCGAACCCTAACCTCCTGGTTCATAGGTCGATGCTCAACCACTGAGCAACCAGCCGGGCAAGTCTGTCACCACTATAAATGGGAACGTGTCAAGCATTCTAAAGAACTCTGTCTCTCTGCTCAGAAAAGACAAGCACTCAAGTCCCTAGAGCAGTGATGGCGAACCTTTTGAGCTCGGCGTGTCAGCATTTTGAAAATCCCTAACTTAACTCTGGTGCCATGTCACATATAGAAATTTTTTGATATTTGCAACCCTAGTAAAACAAAGATTTATATTTTTGATATTTATGTTATACATTTAAATGCCATTTAACAAAGAAAAATCAACCAAAAAAATGAGTTTGCGTGTCACCTCTGACACACGTGTCATAGGTTCGCCATCACTGCCCTAGAGAGAGTTGGGAAAAGCCCAGCTATAAGTGCAGACCCTGAATTTCTGGTTCTACCACTTTAGAGAACTGCTGGGCAGTGTTTGTAAAGGGCTGAAGTGGGGAAGGTTGGGGAAGGGCTTTGCAATGAGGCTGTTTTCCTGAGCATTTTCCTGGGGAAGGCTGAGTAGATGTCAATACTAACAATTCTCTCTCTACTGCGTTTGCCGTCTCTGTTCTTTAGCAGAGAGCCTTTTCCAAGCCCATAACCAGGACCAAAGCCCCCACTTTCCCCGTGATTTTGTTCTCTGTTCCCATGTGCTTCCCAGTTTCCCTCTGCCCCTTCCTTGGCCATATTCTACTCTAACACACCCCTGCCCAGTGGCTCCTCCGAAGGCTGTTTTTCGCCTGGGGGTTGGGGGCTTTGGAGACCATGCAGGGCTCTGCATTTGCCTTCTGATTGCTCATCTCTCCAAGTAGATTTTTTGTTTAATAATGACAGCTAATAGTTGCATAACATTTATCATAGGCCAGTAAGCACTGTGCTTTATGCATAGTAAGTCATTTAATCCTCAGGGCATCCCAGTGGAGAGGCGCTTGTTATAATACTCATTTAGCAGACGAGAAATCCAAGGCAGAGGGGTTAATTAGCTTGTGAAAGGTCTTTCCAGGATTTCAAGTCAGTTGGGTTGCAGGGTTTTTACCATTAATTTTTGCACGATGGAGAGAATAGAGAAAATTTTTCATGAGAATGTATCAAGGCTATAGGAATACACTGGATTTTTGGGCGTTATCTTGAAAAGAGATGATTTTTCAGTGGCACACTGTCTTACAGAAGAATCTCCAAGCTCCGAGCAGGACTTGGACAGGTTGGGGGGCAAGTCCCCACCCCCTCCTCCCCCGCCCCCGAGACGGAGCTACCTGCCAGGATCCGGGCTCACCACCACCAGGACTGGCGACGTGGTCTACACCAGCAGGAAGGAGAACACCACTAAGGTCAGATGGGTCAAGGCCTGGCATACTGGTCTCTGAGTTCATACAATTCCCTTAGACAAGGTCATGTCTGCTCTCATTTAGAACATAGAAAGCACTGAGGCAGAGAAGAGAAGCAGAGAATCAAATAAAACTAGATGGGCAAGAAGTACCACCGATGGACAAACGTCAGCCAGTGTTATGGACTGGATGCAGCAACACTAGTTTTATCCTTACTTGACTTTTAGTTGCAATGATGTGAAATGCAAATCATAAGCTACTTCCCCAGCAGGTCATCGTGAGGTTGAAAATAAGGGTGGCAGAGGGAAGCAAAAAAAAGACCACCTTACAAAGATAACTGGGATGAGCTAACATGGTTGAGGGCGTCCATACACAGAGATGCCTAATGAGCTTTAGCTTGCACGGCACATGGCATGTTTTATCTTTTATGTTCAATGTAAAATTCAAGTTTCAAGGGAAGATAGTATGGGAGGACCTTTCTTACAGGCACTGAACGGTGAGGAGTTACAATTTTATTATAATTCTTCAATCCATTCACCAAAATGGTAGCTCACATGAACAAAAACCTAAACTAAATGCAAGTGGACAGAATAGCCCTTCAACTCAATTTGAAGAGCTAGGAGGTCAGTTTAGTAGGCAGTGAGGGAACACGAGGTCCTCTGTGGTCGCGCCCTCTTTTTGCCAGACCTGGGGGTGTTCAGCCAACATCTGTGCCTTGAACCTTCCATAGGCAAGCGGTGAAGATGCCGGACCAAGCCTGCAGGCTAGAGCCACAAAATGCCCAGCAGAGGAGCCTGCTTCAGCGTGGACTCCATCCCCACCTCCGGTCACTACCTGCTCCTCAAAGGACGAGGAGGAGGAAGAAGAAGGAGACAAAATCATGGCAGAACTCCAGGTATGTGGTTGCAGTGACTGACCGTGGCTCCTTGCTCTTCCCATCAGGAACTCCGTCTACATCTCTCACAGACTCCTTGGCTAGAGAAGGCTAGCTTTGGCCTTCACTGGGCTCTCAGCACACCTTTAGGATGTGTATAAGGAATGACCATTCCATGGAACAACTCAGGACGTTTACACAAAAAATCAATTGCAAGCTTTCCTAGCTCTGGCTGGTAAAATTTACTTTTCTTCCTTTCAGTGTTGATAGTCTCTGTTTCCCTTAAAAAATAATTTAAAAGGAAATCAGAAACACTGGCCATTGTTTCTCTTGATAAGAACTGCTGAACCCCTACTTCAGGCGCGGTCCTGTAACTTGGCCTTGATATTTAGAATGACTGAACTTGAGTCATGTGGCCTCCTTCACTCCATACAAGGTTCCCATTCAATGTCAGTTTCATCTTTTCAAATAGTCTCAAAAGCCAAATAGTCTTATTTATCATTTACCTTGCCTATTTAAGAAATTGATATTTATTTTTAGATTTTTATTTGTAACTAATTACCACAGTCTCCTCTTAGGATTAAAGATGGGGTGCATGGGCTGTACCCAAAACTGATCCCACATTCAAATTGTGGAAGTGAATCCGCCCTGCGTATACATTCTAAGAACTTGATTAACTGAAGACATATGCATAATGCTTAGACTAAAGTCTGTTCATAGAGTATTTCATTTTGACCCATGCTTATTATAGGATTATTTTGTCCTTCAGATGGTAAGATCACAACTTTCTTGGGGCTCCAAAACATGTTACTTTTCACCAGTGTACCCATGGTTGTGCAGGCCCACAACCATGGATCTGCATCTTGCATTTGGAATAGGGAGAGCTTTCAAACCATGTCATTTCCACTGCTGCTGTCCTACTCTGCTTTCCGTGGGAATGCCTGCTAAAGCGGAGCTGCTTGGATTTTCTAGGGAACGCAGGGCTGCTGGTCGATGGTCACATGCACGAGCCTTTCGAGCCTCACTGAAACTCACAGACTGGACTGGGACATCCCCTCCACCCATCACATTACGCACAGGTTTTTAGAATGGCTAGAGAATTTCATTCATAGGAATCGCAGATTTATAAAGTTAGCAACTCATGAAACAGCTGGGAGCAGGGAGGTATCCATCACCCAGTTATCCAATGAGGACCCTCAGGCTGTTGACTCTGGCATGTCAAGCCTACTTGTCGCTGGGATTGGTGCATGTCCTAAGATGTGTAGGCAGATCCTGGGGCCATTCATTGTAGCATCTGGCCCCAAATTAGGGTTTGAATGGGTTCATGGCCTGGTTTGATTCAAATGGTAACAGAGCACTAGGTCACTGTAAATCAGTACACGGTGAACAATTACTAATAAGCCAAGAAGTGGAGAGTGTTAGTCTTGTGAATAATCCTGCACTAGCCTCCTAAGAAAATTAATATATTTGTTCTAGCCACTTAGAGTCCATCATTGAGAATATTTCCCTCCATCGAAGACTGAGTATCTTCCTTGCTTTCTTTAACTGGAAGCTTTACAAAAGCGGTGTATCTGGCTTCTTGTTTTATTGTTGGTGGTTAGGTGCTAGTGGTGAGTATGTGCTCTAACCCTAACTTAACCAAACCCAGCCATCCTGCTGGGGTAGGGACCCAACCCGCTGCTCAGAAAGTTGGCCAGTGGCTCTGGTTAGACAGCCCTCAACCCCACGGCAGGACAAGGAGCATAACTGTGGAGCAACTTTCATGCTCCTGTCAACAGGCACCGTCAGAAACCACAGGCTCCGAAGTCCAGGGCCTCACAGCCCAACAGCGATGGCAAGTGGCCTTCGTGAGCGGAGGCCTGGGCAACTCCGGGCCGACAAGGAGGGTGCCGGAGCGGCGGGAGCAGGGAGTCCGCAGAGAGTGGAGAGCCGGCTGGGGAGAGTCCTGGGCATCAGCTCCGTTCTTCCTTGGGCCAGCGATGAGACGTTCACTCGGGGCGGGCATGGGTTATTCTTTCTGCCTGCCGTTATTTCCAGATCACAGTACTTGACATTAAGGAAATATGAAAGAATTATTTGAGATGATTCATTTAAATAAGTAGTTTTTAATCCTGGCTGTCCGTTAGAATTACGTAGGAAAAATTTTTTTAAAGTCCTACAACCCAGAGATTCAGATTTAATTTTCTCTGGGTGAGCCCTGGGTAATAGTATTTTTATAAACCAGGTGATATGTTGAAAACCTCTGATTTCAAAAAACTTGGGTTCTTGGGTTACTGTGTCTCCTGCTCTCACCGTCACTCTGCCGCTCCCCGCTGCCCTGCAGACATAGCCTGTGCTTCCTCTCCTGGCTCCGTGCTCACAGGAGCTGGTGTGGCTCCAAAAACCAGGACAGTTTTCAGGAACATGTCTAGGCCTCAGGCAGTTCCGAGGCCACTCAGAATGCCATGGTGCTGAACAGCACCACTTTCTCAGTGAGCCTCAGAACACCTCGGAGCACGGAGTCCCTGTTACTATTTCAGACAGTGAATTGGCAAGCATTACCTTTATTTTAAGGCTTAAGGGTTTTTAATATCTTGTGCCCTTTTTCTATAGCTTCAATAAATAAATGGAGTCTGGTAAAAAAAATAATCAAGAAAAAAGAAAGAAAAGATGGCTTCTTGGGTGTTTTGTATTTTTTTAATTCATTTACATATTCAGTATTTTTGAAAGGTCAAAACAAGAAGCCCTACTAAACGCAAACCAAGTTCACCCTGGACAGGAAGAAAGGGTGTTCTCTGCAAGGGCTGTGTCCTTTTATCTTGCTGTGGCCCAGAAATTAGGAGGCGTTGGCCCTAGGCTCCGCCCTCTCACCAGCTCTGTGGGCCTGAGGCCAGAAGGGGAGCAGGTTTTCAAGGTGCTGCCTTCCATCTGGCCCTGGTGTGACCTGCGTGCAGGACTGGGCTGCGGTCTCCACACTCTAGATTGATTCCCTGCCTGCCTGTCTCCTCCTTCCTCCTCGCTACACAGAATCCTGTTAACCTCAGTATTTTAATTCCATAGGCATTCCAGAAGTGTTCCTTTATGGATGTAAATTCAAACAGTCATGCTGAGCAGTCCCGGGCTGACAGTCACGCTAAAGACACTAGGCTGGGGGCCACAGTCTCACCCAAGGAGAAGAAGGTAACGTGGCAATCACACTCTGCCACGCGGGCGGAACGCCCTTCTTTCCTTGCTGACACTAACCGCTCCTGCGCTTGTCCTTCTGTGCCCTCTCCTTCCCTCTCGCCTTTAAAAAGACAATGAACTGAAACACCGCTTTGCATTTAATTCAGAGATAACTGGCTGAGGTTTTCTCAGCAGATGCACTGTTTCTGTGCACAGCGTTCAATAGTATGTGCAGAATTGAGGCATTATCTTCACAAACTAAAGAATATACATCTTTCAAGATTGTCTAGAATGACTTTTACAGACAAAAAAAAAAAAGAAACACCAACCAAGTTTGTAGCACTTTTTCTCATTTTTCACCTATCTCCTGAACCAAAGCATCGATATTAAAAATCGGTGAAAGCCGTAGATTCCAGGAAGGAAGCTCGGGGCGGAGCTGCACACCTGAGGCTTCCGTGAAACACACACATGTATCTGCACACATGTGTAAAGATGCCCAGCAGAATTCTCTTATATTACAAATTCTCAAAGTAGACCTTGCAGGATAAGAAGTTCAGTATAGTTTTAGTGCTAATACACTTTCTGGCGTTCCAATGGCTTTGAAACAAATGTCCAGGCTCTGGAACAAAGTTCATTCTCGTGACCTCAGTACTTTAGGGAGAGGATGTGAGCCTGAGTGTTTGAACCTCAACATTAAGCTAGACCTGGAACTTTTATGATTTTTTGGCAAGAGAGCCATCTTATTTGAATGAAGCCGCTGTCTAAATGTCAGGCAAGAACAGTGGTTCTCAACCTTCCTAATGCCTCGACCCTTTAATACAGTTCCTCATGTTGTGGTGACCCCCAGCCATAAAATTATTTTCGTTGCTACTTCATAACTGTAATTTTGCTACTGTTATGAATCGTAATGTAAATATCTTATATGCAGGATGTATTTTCATTGTTACAAATTGAACATAATTAAAGCACAGTGATTAATCCCAAAAACAATATGTAATTATATATGTGTTTTCCGATGGTCTTAGGCGACCCCTGTGAAAGGGTCGTTCAACCCCCAAAGGGGTCGCGACCCACAGGTTGAGAACCGCTGGTATAGAAAGTTTATTATGATCAACTCAAGTCCTAACATGTCTCACCAGAATGTATATTTCAGAATTCAGAGGTTCTAGTTGCCCTTAAATGAAGTCAAACATCTCGGCTAGCGCATTGTGAGTCCAAGTGGGCACCGCAGTCCATGTGCACATAAGCTCAGTGAGGAGCTAAAGGGTCATGAAATCGGAAGTTATTCTAATACAACCCCTCAAGAGACACAACCTGGTGACTGCAGCCCCCTGCCTTGCTCCTCCCTGGCTCACAGCCAGCAGAGAGCCCTGTATACAATGAGTCTGCCACAGAAAGCCAGTAACCAGGTGACATGTGATCTCCTGGTACATCACGGGAGGTTATGAGATTATTGTTGATAAATTTTTCTCATGAAGAAAACCGTCTACTAATTTGGATTGAATCCATGGCAATCATATTGGAAATATATTGTTTTTCCAGTCTCTGGAATCCCCTTATGTGGCCTTATTAAGACCAGGCCATGGAAGGCCCTAGCGCATTTGAGTTATTGGGCATATTTGGGCCAATGGGACTATTTTTGTCTAAAACACTGGAAACTGGGAACTTCTTGAAGATCCCGCTGGAGAAGATTATTGTCTCATTGTAGAATTTTGCTAATTGCCTTGAAATTTGCATGAGATGTTTTGTCCAGCAATTACAAACCCATATCCCAATCATCTCTTTTATCTCAATCAGGGGTCCATCGGCTAATAATAAGCAGGTCTGTATTGAGTGCCCAACACTGGGTTTAATCACAGGTGCTTATTCTAGATAATTGTACTGAGTAGGTTGATCTGCTCCATAATATCAGTATCAGACTTGTATTTGAGTATTATATACAATGTGGGTTTCAGACTTGTCCCCAATTGTTGTCATTAACCTCTTCCTGGGCTACTCATCTCCTTTCCTATACCTCTTAAAATATTTCTTCTGTCATCAGAAAGCATTAGCCTAGTTCTTGACTTTTATGCAATAGTCCTATAATTCTGTCTCTAATTCTGGTTTATTGCCCGTATGTGTATTGAGCCTGCTTCACCAGTTGTCTGAACAAGCCAAATCTCAGAGCCTATAAGTAGATATTAATGAGGCTTAATTATTCAATCTTGACTATCTAAGAAATCATTGTGAGATTACCTATGACAGTTGTGACCATGCTACTCTGAATAAAGTTAATGCACTTGCTTTGATACACCCATTCTTTTTTCTAGCCCAGTGACAAAAATGGTAGGCCATGTGAAACCTAAGCTTGGCAGCTTTATGTTAGTGACCTTGCCTTGGAGTATTCCTGCTACTCGACCTGTCTTACAATGCATGTGTCACATGGTGGCATTCCAAATATTTCATGATGGGTATGACTGGGGTCCTGACCAATCAGAACAGAGAGCAGGTCTACCCCCAGCACCTGGGCCAGCAGAACACCAGCTGTGCAGGTGTCTTCTTTAGATCACATGGCTGTTCCTTCCCTGATTCAAGGATAAATTCTTCCGCAGGTCCTAACGTGCTAGCTCCATAGATGGAATTGAAACCTCGAGCCCAAGCCTCATTTCTTTTTCTTAAAACCTTTTACTTGTTGTATTCGTTGTTGAATCATCTAAATGTAAAATCCCACAAAAGATATTATGTCATTCGACTACAGCAGCTGAGTCATTCATTGCACTTGTTTTGGGGGCCTCCTGGGGGTGAGGGGAAGTTAAACTGGTGGCGTTGGCTGTCTAGTGCACCTCGTACCTTGTGCGATCTTTCCATGTGACTTATAGGGAGTCTGTTGTTTGTGTATTATCCCCTTAACCTGTATGAACATTCTTTCCATTTTTAACCAGGCTGGTAGGACTGTTCTGGGTTGACTTTGGCGGGGGCCTGGGTTACTGTGCTTTGTTACGCTGTAACCAAACAACCTCGTTGGGATTATGTCCCATCCTACTAAACTCACCTCTTCCTCTTGGGCTTCTGCAATGAGAAGAAAGGACAGCAGTGCCCTGGAAATGACAGGGCATGGTTAGTGTGAGCGTTGTGGCAGGGCCCGGGCTACTGGTACAGCCATGCGGGGAAGGGCGCGCTTTCCCGGGGGAGCCCTCTGCATCCCGGGTCCTCCGTGCTGGGCTCTTCTGTTCGGAACCTTGGTGAGAGCCTCGGGATGTCTCTTTGCTCTGCATCAGACTTTATAGAGAATAAAATCTTAATCATGATGTGCCAGTCTCAATCCTAGCCTCAGATATCTGTTTTGTAAATGTTTAGATGATATTTTAGCAGCATTATCACACTGAATTTGGATTTGATCATCTTGGTGTGATTACTTTGAAGGCTATTTTGACACTTTCCTTGGCAAGTGCAAGTACAAACTGCGAGTATATTTCAATCTGTCATTTGAAAAGGAATGTTGTTTTTTTAAATCTCAAAGTCCTACACCCTACCAGTGCAGATGTCCTTGGAGGACACTTCCCATAAACAAAACTGATAGGACTGAAATAACTAGCTGGAAGGGACAGGAACAATCTGCTGGTCTAGTGCCTCAGTTTATAAGCAAGAACACCGAGGCTCAGAGAAGTGGAGGAGCTTGCCTAAAGTGACACGATGAAGCGGCAGGCAGAAGACGTTGACTCTGCCTGCTGACATAGTGCGCTTTCTGCAAGGCCACCCCATGCTGGTTTCCGCTTCTGCCAAGCTCACTGTCAGATGTTGAAAAGAGGACGTTTCCTACAGAATCAGTCTCTTTATTCTCTTCATTGCTCCCCCACCAGATTTGAATTTCTTGAGATATTTTGCTAATTGAGATTTTCATCTTATGCAAACACAGGGCATTTTTGGAAGTTGGCGAACAAAACAGCCCAAGGTAAACAGAGCTCTAGGCTTTGGACCGGTGTGTAACAAATGTGGTTGGCCCGCATGTTTTGGAAATGTAATTGAAGGAACGATTGAGTTAGAGTCCACTGTGGGAGGGGGTGTGGTTTTGTGGAGTAACATGTCCTGCACTGTCCTACCAGAATTTGGAATTTTTCCACGAAGACGTACGGAAATCTGATGTTGAATATGAAAATGGCCCCCCAATGGAATCCCGAAAGGTGAGTTCCCCATCCGCGTTCCAGCCGATACCGTGCAGATTAATTAGCCTCCTTTGCGGATCCATTTCTGGTTAACGCATGTCATTTCCCGCCTCCACTCTCCCTCGCAGGCCACCTCAGGGGCTCCTACACACAGTGACCGTCCCAGGTGGGAAAGAGGAGTGGAGAACAGTATTTCTCAAGAACATCAGACTATAAAACTGACAGCAAGAACATCGGATATTCTTGATGCCTCGAGAACATCAGACTATAAAACTGACATCTTAATGAAGGAAAATTCCATTCCCAATAGAAGTTTACTTAGAGACAGTAGAAATTATTCCCAGAAAAATGTGTCTAAGGTCAATTCCAGTTTCCCTGGCACCAATTTGTTAGAAGATGAAATAAGCAAAGGGCCTAAAATCTCAGGACTGCAGGGCCCTCCATCTGACCCTGAGAACCAGAAGATGAATTATGAAAAGACAAAAGAGATGAGTCAACGAGATCAAGAAAATGCAGATAGATGTCACCTACTCTCTCCCACGAGGTCAACTGAATTGAGTATTTGTGATGTCAAAACTCAAGATCAAGAGGTTCCTGCGACAGAGTTTGGCCAAGTTGTGCTAAGACCCAAGGGGGCTTGGCATGCTAGTAATGGGAAGCCTAATGAGGACAGGGAATCAACCCCAAGTTCTCCCACTGAGGAGAGTGCACCCACAGACAACATCGCCTTCATGATTACCAGAACTGCGGTCCAGGTTCTCTCCAGCGGGGAGGTCCGCGAGATAGTGAGCAAGAAGGGAGAAGATGTACAGACTGTGAATATTGATGCCAAAAAAGAGATGACTTCCCAACAAGAAGGGACTGAAAACGAAGAGCCAGTCGTGTGCCTAGACAAGAAGCCAGTCATCATCATTTTTGACGAACCCATGGACATCCGATCTGCATATAAGAGACTTTCAACCATATTTGAGGAGTGCGATGAGGAATTAGAGAGAATGATGACAGAGGAAAAAATAGAAGAGGAGGAAGAGGAGGAAAATGGAGACACTGTGGTCCAGAATAACACTTCCCAAAAGTTCCAGAAGGTTGTGTCAGGCCCCGGCTCAGGACTGCAGGCTGAGAGCCGATTGCAGCCACACTCCCTCTCAGGAGACACCGGAGTGTCAGGAGGACAGGGAATGAATAAGGCTGAGCTGCCCACGAGCGGCCGAGCAGATTCTCCAAGTTCAGAAAGCAAGTGTGATGCGGCATATGACCAGTTGGAAAGCCCCAAGAAAAAGTTCAAGTTCAAATTCCCTAAAAAGCAGCTCGCCGCTCTCACTCAGGCAATTCGCACAGGAACCAAGACGGGGAAGAAGACCTTGCAGGTGGTGGTCTACGAAGAGGAGGAAGAGGACGGCACTTTGAAGCAGCACAAAGAAGCCAAGCGATTCGAGATCACTCAGTCTTCCCCACCCGAAGACACCCCCCAAAACAGGCTCAGGAGACAGGGGCAGCCCTGTCTGGAGAACACATCTTCCATTTCCAGAACTGATGAGATTAGAAATAACACCTACAGAACACTGGACAGCCTGGAGCAGACCATCAAACAGCTGGAAAACACGATCAGCGAAATGAGCCCAAAAGCCCTCGTTGATACCTCATGTTCTCCCAACAGAGATTCTGTTGCAAGCTCGTCCCACATAGCCCGGGAGGCCTCTCCCCGAGCCTTGCTAGTTCTGGAAGAAGCTCCCACTACCCTAGAGCCCCCCTCATCAATCCCTTCAGCTTCACGTAAGGTATCTTGGTCTGATGGAAAGTGAAAAGACCCAGCTGCTTTCCTAAATCTGCCATAATCACCACTAGCAAAAGGTGTCTTGTGATTGACTTGCTTCCTTTCAGGTGGCTCATTTATTATGTTTTATTTATTTATTTGTCTGTTCGCCTTGATACTTTTCTCTCACACTTGCTCCCTCCCCTTCAAAACAACAACAACTGGGTGTCTAACAGCTAATTGACTCTGGTTTTACCTCTGTTGCTGATTGGTGTTGGGTAAGCGCAAGGATGCTGGGTCATCCATTTGCCGTTAAAATGATTGCTCTGATACTCACATTAAAATCCGTTTGATCAGTAGTGGAGCAGTTTATTCTGTTTGATTCTTGGAATTAACCCAGTGGTGTCTTCTGATGTCCGTCTCCCAGATCTGTTCTGCATGTAGGGCTGTGGCTTCTCACATTGAGCTTCTCGGCACACCGTGGGCCGGCCTCGGCGATAATCCACTCACGTGCTTCCCTTGTCTTCCCCCTCTCGCTGCTCTTCCCCGCAGGCCCCGGCGGGGACCCCACAGACCAGCAGGATGCCAGTCCCCATGAGCTCCAAGAGTAGACCCGGAAGCCTGGACAAGCCCGGCAAGCAGACCAAACTGCAGGATCCCCGCCAATATCGTCAGGTAGTTTTACCTTAAAACCAGTTTTGGATGGACACGCTTACAGTGGTGAAGCAAGTCGCTGACTTAGTTTATACCAAACATTGTGTTTTCTTTGTAAGCTATGGTTTGTGTAGACTTCCTGGATCTGGGGCATGAAGAAAGTCTAAAAACCTTTGTTTGTTGAACTTTCCTCCACGCTTTTGCATGCCTGCAATAAAACATCGTTTACTTTGTGAGTCCCACGTTTAGCCATTAACACGAGCTGCCACACCGGTTGGCTTTTCTTTGGCGAATGTAGTGGTTCATCGGAACGCCCTGAGAAACCGAGTCAGACAAACCTGTCGTTGAACTGTCCTGAAAGTCGCCCCCACTAACGTCTATGTTGATTGCACTGCATTCGAGGCACATTAACACTCCACGTCCCACCCTCACCCCTTAATAACCCAGACGCATGGCTGACCCAGCCCCAGACCCCAGACATGGTCTCCTTTCTTCCTTTGTGCATCCTCTGCTCTCTATACACTTTTGGGGTTTTCTCCCAGGTCCAGTACAGCACAATGAGACTTAGCTCAGGCCTTGAACTGGTTTGGTTGGGTTGGATGCCTTTTATTTAATTATTCTCAGAAGGGCTGTGTTGCCAGACCCTGTGCAACGATCGTGTTACCAACTTTCTGACAAACTGTCTCCGCCGTCTTTATTTGCAGGCTAATGGAAGTGCTAAGAAAGCTGGTGGGGACTGTAAGCCTGCTTTCCCCTCCTTACCTGCTTCTAAGATTCCAGCCCTTTCTCCCAGCTCTGGGAAAAGCGGCTCTCTGCCCTCTTCTAGCGGTGACAGCTCTAACTTCCCTAACCCAGCTGCTTCCAAACCACCGGTTACTTCTAACCCTCTCAGCCCCCAAACAGGACGAGCTGCCTCCTCGGCCTCCCTCATCCCCTCTGTCTCTAATGGCTCCTTAAAGTTTCAGAGCCCCACTCACACAGGTAAAGGTCACCATCTTTCATTCTCACTGCAGACTCCCAATGGCCGAGCAGCCCCTCCCTCCTGCTCCTCCTCCCCCCCCTCCCCCGCCTCCCCCACTTCACTGAACCAAGGTGCCAGGAGCGTCAGGACCATCCATACTCCCAGCCTCACCAGCTACAAGGCACAGAATGGAAGTTCCAGCAAAGCCACCCCATCCACAGCAAAGGAAACCTCTTAAAGGCCACACCCTATCAGGCACAAGTTGGAGTTACATTTAAAAATTTAGAAAAAAATTGTAACAGTCTTTTAACAACTGTTTTCCCAAGAGAATGTAACATATTGCTGTACTGTTTGAGGCTTAATGCTAAGTATGTGCTAAATACTGGATGAATAGATTTCAGTAAAGCTTGTTTGGTTTGGTTTTATTTTTTAGTTGTTGCTATTGTAATTACATAGTGTTAACTGTCTGTATTCAACACCTGTTAAGTGAAGTAAGCATGGGTTACAGAGAGTATGGTGAGAGAGAAGGGTATGTGTGTGAGGCAGGAAAAAACGTATTGAGCATGTAAAACATGTATGATTTCAGAATTTTAGTATGTTTTGTATAAAAATATTTTTCATTACAGAGACTAGAAGTGAACAGAGAAATACGCAAGTGCGACTATACAAATTGTAAAAGAGATACTATAATATTTCCTTTTATTTTAGTGTTATTTAGCTTTATTACAGATTTCTATTTTTGTCAAAACTTCATGGTTCCTTTCAAGATCTTTTTTGCCAAAACATTTTGATACTATAGCATTGTACATTTGAAAGTAGTGTCTAGACAACAGGCCAACCCAGGGTCATATGTAGAAAGCAATTTATCAAACCAATTGCACTGCCATGAAAATTATGTATGATAATTTGCCAGCCCAAGTGAGCTAGTTTTCTTTGCATTTCTCTCTTTCTTCTTCTTCTTCTTCTTCTTTTTTTTTTTTTTTTTTTAACATATTGGGATTCTCTAGTTGTTTTCTTTGCAGTATCTAACCCCTTCCTTTGTTTTCTGAGACCTGGCAACCCACACTATTACAGTACATTGTGGATTTTAAAGTGTACACTCTGTACTGTTCTGTAAACTGAAAAACTTTTGTAAATATATAAATAGACATAAAAACACTATATGTGACAGCACATAGAGTAGTTTTCCCACACCAAAGTTAATTTTTATGCATGCTTTACAAATATATATTGGGATGGGCAGAAATGGGACTCTCCATACATTTTTAAAAAGTAACAAGTTTGCACAGCTAGAGTGTTTTTGTAAATAACTGTATTTGTATAACACAGTCATGTAATATACAGAACTATAAGCAGAGACATTGCAAAACTAATAAAGGGCTGCATGCTTATTATTTTTTGTACCTTGTTACTATAGCTGCGTCCTAGGCAAAGAATGAAACGGAACTGTTACCAAGGGAAATGGTTTGGGCTTTGAGGGCGTTATCAGTGACATGTAAGCAGCCTCAAACTTGTGTTCTGAAAGCTCTATTTCTCCGAAAACTCTGAGGTGACTCATGATGAGGTCTCATGAATTCACTGCGAGTGTGGTGCCTTCCGACATGACCTGCTGACTCTCGTCTCAGAGGCTCACCAGGTTCGGCTCACAGAAAGCAAACCTGGGCGCAGTCTCCACCTTCATTTCCAGAGAGGTTCTTCCGACCGGCTTTTTCCTGTTTGAATTCCAGGAGAAGTAACCTGAAATAAAAGGTCCTTATCACTAGGATGTGTTTTGTTTTGTTTTGTTTGTTTGAGTTCTTAATTTTAAACAAATATTATTGGTCCAAAGGGAAATATAACTAACATTACACTTAGTTTTCCTTTAAAAAATAGGGATAAAGGTTCGTGAAAATAATACCCAGATTACTAATGGACTGACACACTGATAAACTTTTGTAAATCTATAAATAGACACAATATATAAATAGACTGTTCTTGTTAGAACAGTCTCAGGAACCTGCTTATCATTCCTTGTTGCCTCCAAAATGTTTAACTTGGTGGTTTCATGTAAAGTGCAATATTTCTTATTACTTTAGCACCCGGTGGTAGTGTTTACAACCTTCGGGCTGCTGAGCTGGCATGCCTTCACCAGAAATATTTTACCCTGTCTCTACTCATTATAGTAACTATAATCACATGTTTGACGTATGTAACACTCAGGAAAGTTGCCTTAAACCTTTGAGGTATCAGAGGTTCCAACATTTCAGTTGCCTCCTGGAACCGACTCAGCAGCTGCAATATGCTAAAGTGGATGTAACAGCTACTGCATGCCGGTGCATTTGCTCCTGTGTGTGAGCAGCTGAGACTCTGGGTCAGCAGCTAAAGAGCAGACTGCGGCTCATGCTTTCCATGCAACGTCAGACCTCCCAGAGCTCTGGCAGGACATACATGTGAGGACCAGTTTCAGCCCTTGTGATGAAGGAACAGACAGTTCTCAGGGCTGGGGGGGGGGGGGGGGGGGACTCAAAGTGGCCCCTGGCCGAGACCCAGCGAGGCGCTGCCTGCCTCCTCAGGAAGTTGGAGGGGAAACCATCATCATTGGAGGAGCTGGACCCGGTGTGCACAGCTGCCTGCCACACTTAAAAAGGCACCTCGGTTCCTTTAACAGCTCAGGTGGGTGATGTTAGATAGGCAGTGGCTGGATTTTAGGTTTTTGTTAAAATACTATTAGTAGCATCTCTCTACATTATCTTTTAAGTTCATCATTCCACTAACAAATTATTATATCGGGAAAAGGTTCTTAGGAATTAACCGCAGAGGCTTCTCCGATCCATTCTACAGCCCGTAATCGGGGCCACCGGCTGGTGCTGCAGCCTTGGGCATGTCTCGGTTTTCTCATCAGTAACGGAGAATAGTAAAGGAACCTAGGACTGACGAGAGGATTAAATGAGAAGCACAGAAAATTCCTAAGACGGAGCCTGGCACATACCACACACTCGGTAAGGGTTGGTTAGGATTGTGGTCGCCTTCATCACTTCTGCAAGGATGGCCCTTCAGAGGCTCCCGTGGGGAGGGGGTGCCACAAACAGGCCTGCAGAGGAGTCAGACACCGAGATGTTTCGCGCTGGCGCTGGTCTCTTGCAGGTGCAACACAGAACGGTCAATAGTGTTGCCTCACGGAGGAGGCCGCTCTCCTTTTAATGCTGCTTGTGACTGGAATTCTTTCCAACGTAAAACAAAGACTTACATGGATTTGGGGCAGAGCCACAGCCCTAGAACCACAGCCACAGAAGAGAGAAGTGGGGTTTTCAGACTTGGGAGAAAGGTGCACCCCAATCACCCCACCCCAGAGCCCGCTGGTGGTGAGGGGTGGAGCTGGTGCCCATCCCTGAGCCAGTACCTGGGCAAGACCTGTGACCAAAAGGTGATACTCCACTGGGCACTGAGAGCAGGTCTGACCACTCCCCTCGCCCCCCAGCCAGATTCAGGACAAATCAGGTGCTTCCCCCTGCCTGCCCTGCAGCGGGGACTAGCTTCCTCCCCTCCCCATGGCCCTGTCAACGCAGAGGCTTTGGAGAGCAACCAGGAGTTTTTTGGAGGCAGTAGAGGGATGAAGGCTGCAGTAGAGGGATGAAGGCTGCTTCTACTGAATATGCAACGGGTAATCTTGCAAAAGTAACCGGGTGACCTTGTCCAGGAAAATGCACCACGGGTCACAGGCCACCGCACACACTCTGATCTACTCTCCTGAGGAGATCATGTCCAAAGGAGACAAAGTGATTACAAGAGCATTTTTGAGGAGAGAACCCCAGACCTGTGAGGGCTCCTGCCTTCCAGCTCCACAGCCACCGTAAAAGCCAAGACTCTCCCTGATGACCTGGAGGCAAGAGGGTCAACCAGTCGGCTCCCACCACACCCTCAAATGGCTCCCTCTAGTGGTATCCATGCCCCATATTGCTACACAGGCAGCACATTTTTCAGTCTCTATCTTTGGCTTTCTTGAAGGGCTTTACCTACTAAGATTCCATATTAAACAAATGAGATTAAGTCTCTTTCCTACTGATGAAGTAGGGACCAAGCTTGCACCTAACAATCAGCATCCCTCTGCAGGGGTCAGGGCACAGATGGCCCCTAACACAGTCCGGCGCTCTGTCGGGGGAGGCAGTATTAGATTAGACCTAAGGTTACAGACGGATCAGAGATCTAAGGTTTCTCAGGAAGGAGACTTCGCCTTTGGCCTGTTCTGTCTCCTTTCCTGGGTCGTTCCTCCTTGCTGGTTTTGAGCTCACTGGCCTGCACGCACCCAGGCCTGAGTCGGCCTCAGCGCCTCTGCCCCCCCATCCCTGGCACGGAGCCTGCCCTTCCTGAAGCAGAGGGTCTCCATCTCCTGAGCCATGAGAAGCGCTTCTTGCGCTGACATCTGCTCCGGGAAACCCAGCCAGGAGGTTGTATTTTGCTCACAAGAAAGAGTTCACTCTCCTAGAAACGAAGTCAGGGCAGGAAACTTGCAGGGATAAAGAGACCATTGTGCGGTGATTGCAATCAACGTTCTTTATTTCCACCAGTGGGCAGTCACAGTGGAGGGACCTGGCCAGGCCTGCACAACTTACATGACCTGGACACAGATTGGCCTTTTAACGAGTGACCCCAGAGAAAGGGCCCATGACCGCCCTCTCCCCTCCTGTCCCTTCTGTGTAAAATTCCTCAAAGGAGGCGCTCCCAGGGAAAAGCAGGCATTGCTGCCCTATGGGACCTGCTGCTCCCTGCCCTTGGACTTAGCCCAAACCCCCTGCCCCATCACTCCCTTCATCCCAACCACCTCTATCCCTCAGACAAGCCCGAGCCCCAGGGGTCCCCTCTGCCTGGAATATTCTCCCCAGGAAGCCTGGGTCAGGGCCCCTGCTCTAGCACCTCTCCGTCATAGCGCTGAGGGGAGGCTGAAGTATGCAATAAGTACAGGGATTCATACCTATACGCACTCCCAAAGGGGCCATGGCAGAGCCTGCTACAAACCATGAAGGACCATGCTCTTCTGCGGAGACACAGGTTGGTGGAGGGGACCTGGGGGCCTCACACTGTTCCTAGGACTTAGCCAGGCTGAGATTAGGTAGACTCCCGGAAGATTCTGCAGGGTTTTAGGAATGACTGTTCACTTGCTGCCACTTGGTGGTCATTTCTGGAACTTCCTCTAGGAGGCTATTGGAAGCCCTGCTCTTCACTGAATCTCTCAACTTCATTTCCGTTTTGCCACAGCTGTGAAGTGCGCAGCCCGCCGGCAGGGTGCACCTGGGCCCTGGATGAAAGTGTGAGGCAGGTAGCATTTTTCCTCATCGCTAGGCCTCCTTCAGAATCACTACCTCCCATCATTCCTATCTTGGGGGGAAGTGATTGTAAACTAAGG